TTAATCCTGCCCCTGTTGAAGAACCAGGTCTATGAAGCAAAAAGGCTGCTGAGGAACCACCAATTGGGGCTTTCTCTCTCCCCAACTTGGAGGGGGGGGGGGTGTATATGTGTGTGTTTTGGTTTTTAATTACATGACAGCATTGTGATACATTAAATATATTTTTCAAAAAGGAGATAAAAATAGTAAGTCGGTGGCAAAGATTCCTAAACTGTGCTACGAAAAAGAACTAACCTGCAACAAGAAGCCTCCCCTCTCCCTGTTCAATTACTACATTCCGAAAATCCATGGATTGTTTTTTTTTAAATGAAAGATGCAGAAAAGTTGAAAAATAAACCACCATTTCCCTAAAGAGCACTCAGCAGAAATACAGTCCCTGCCAGGGCTGCCATACCTGTTTGTTGGGAAATGCTCTGATGCAGCGGGTCTGGTATTTGAGGCTGGATTCCCTGCGCTGCTGAACGTATCCCATGTTCCGTAAATCCCACACCAGCACCCTCCGGCCCGCCGTCCCCACGATCAGCCTGTCCCCGGACACAGACAGCGTGTACACCTTCCAAAAAAAAAAACATTTACAGCGGTTAACACTTATTAACCTGCACAACCGCCGCTGTTTGGACAAAATAAACCGCCAGCAACGAGCAGGTGATGTTACAATGATGTTTTTAGCCAGAGAACTCCCTTCAGCTTCAGTTCAGGGCTCAGACTTGGGATAAACAGCAGTGGTGTGCAGCTGCTTAAAGCATTAAATTTATTGAATGTAATGGTAAAAGGAAAACTAACCCTAAGGGGCAGATAGGGAAGAGCATGGATAGTGGAATTCATCTCTGCTTGGTATGTACAGTTTGCATTCCCACTGTTAAGGCAGGTTAGTCCTACAATACCACAGCACACATTTTCCCCTCTGTTTTCCTCCACCTGCTAACCACGTGGTTTTCTTTTTAAACTCAACACTTCAGATGGAGCTTCGTGTTAATAAAGTGAAATAAAACTGCCAAGAAATCATTAAAAAAAACAGTGCTATGTATTACTTTAATAAAATCATGTGATATGCAAGAAAGCAATACGCTTGACACATTTAAAAGGACTATGGATTTGGAATTTCAGCTCTACCCTAAAAACGGGTCCAGAGGTTCTAATTTTGGCTTATCAAATTTCTCATTAAAACATTCAGTGGATGGATTGTTGTTTCCAACTATTATTTGGGATGTAGTTAATCTGAATATACGTTTAAAAAAAAAAAAAGAAAAAGGAAAGAGGTTTAGTCAAAAGCATTGTGTCATGAAATGAATTCATCTGATAGAGCCCAGCAAAGCTGTTGGTTCTGGTAAGACTGCACTGAAATAGAAAAATATAAAAAGCTTCCTTTAACCTCATCTGTTCACCAGATATTCCTGCAATAAAATGTGATTGCTCAACTACCCTCTTAAGACTGAGATCTTAGGATGAAAAAAATCTTAAATGTTCACAGAGGAGTTGCTCAAAAATTTCTGATGATCTCAATTATGCCTAAAAAGAGTAAGGGTACTTTGAGCTAACAGTAGTTACACACTTCAACAAGACAGTTTTTCAAGTATCCCTTCGTTTTTAACACAAAAATTTACCCCAAAAAATATTAATAAACATTATATAAAATGTGTTTGCATACACGCAGGGAAACAAAGGCATAAAAACATTAAATATCTTAAATCTTCTCCACAAACTGATGTCACACCTGTACAGTGAGTATTCTTTCTACACCACACAACCATAAATCAAATGAAACCGTTGTCGTGCAGTTGAGTAGGTGTACACATTTATCAAAGGCAGCATTAAAAAAATGACATAATGAACCTTGCTGAACCAATAAGCAGCTTGATTCACTGTGGCTGTCCATTATATGATATTCTGGCAGCAATTTATCACAGTTCTTTACATGCTACATACATCTATAAATCAAAACTAGAAATAATGCAATTACTTTATTCTGAACAAAGGTCTCACCAGAAGTAGATTCAGCTATGCTGGAACAAAAGTAAGAGCTATTTAGGGGCAAAGGGAATGTAATGATGGCTCGTAATTAGGACTTGACAATAGGATGTCACGGTGCTAAATGAAATTTTAAAAAGGCACAGGCAAAAAAATATTCGTATGTAAAATTATCCAAGCCAGCCTGTGTTTAGCAGTCTCTGAAAAAAAATCAGAAATTACTGTTGTTTAATTCTCTCAGTGACACCACTGTAAGCACGATAAAGATTAACACACCACATGACCATTAGAAAACGCTGAAGGTGTAAAATTTTACCTTATTTCTCCAAGTCTCCCATTAGCACAGAGGATTTCGGTATTGGAACAATGTCAGAATTTACTAGGCATTAGTACAGCACAGGTAAATCACCAGAAATTCTGTTCAATTTTTTAACACAAGTGAAAAACCAAATTAGTATTTCGGGGAATGTAAATGGCCTCCTCCTGTATCAGACCCTATGACTGCCAGGTCTGATGTACCTAAAATCTTAACACTTAAGGAAATCAATAGTGAATATTACAATTAAGCCAAGCTGCTGGGTTTGTAACGTTTTCTTTCAAACTCATTTTCAGTTATAAGAATCTGGTCAAAGCCTTCCCCTAAAAATCTCAGTATATTCCGAACACCAATCTCTTAATCTGTGCAAGTTTCACAGCTTAAAACCCATCAAACACAACTTCACAAATTCAATCCGGTTTCAGCGTCCTGCATTATTTAGCGTGTCCCCTGGAATCCAGCACCCAGCACGTACCTTTTCAGGCTGAGAGAAGGTTCCTGCATTACAAGGAGTTCTGGGATCCCACAGTTTAACTGTTTGATCCCAGCTTCCAGTGACCATCACATTCACCTCTGGGCAGTACTCAACACACCTGATGGGAGCATCATGGGCACCCACAAGGTTTTCTGTAAGAAAATACAATACACTGTAACTTTACTGGCCCCACCAACACCCAGAATGTGTGAAATAAAGAATAAAAAAAGGACTCTACTGCAGTACAAACATTTTCTGACATTCCATGGGTGCATTTCTATGCCAGGACTCTCTCTAAGGATAGCTCAGACTTCTGAAACACAAGTTTGGCAAAGAAAAGGATTGTTAAATTTAAACTTTACCGCTCACACTTGTTTGTCAAGCCCTGGCTATCGGTTGGCTCTGATGACTATGTCTGGCTGAGATTTGCTTTTCTCTTTAACACACACACAAAAAAAAAGTGAGACAAACTAGTTCCACGTTTTGCATCAACAAGGCACTGGAACTGTTATTTTCAAGCAATGTTTTGTTAGGAACAAAATGTAGTACAAAGCCCTGCTTGACAAAGCAAAAGCTTTATACACCCTCTGCCACGAAAGATCATTATTCTAAACACATTAAAATCACAAACCTTTGAAAAATAACATGCTCAGGTTTAGTTCAGCTGTTCAGCTTGGCTAATTCGCCCTAATTGAGACACTGCAGCACATGGGGGTTTGGATATTCAGGATTATCATCAGAAATCCAATTCGAGGCATCCTACAACAAGCACCTACCAAATTTTCTGGTAACCTGACCGATTCTTCCCCGCTTTTAGCTGGTACTTATTAGGGCCAATAGTTACTCTCCAGATACTTAAATATCCCCCATCTAAAGAACTTTAAACACACCCTGTTCATGTAAATATAAAAATCTGAAGTTTAGCCCAGCTGGTGAGACCATTCATTACCCAATCTGCTCACCTTGGTCCGTGTTTAAATCGTGCATTTTCAGCTGCTGATCCAGCCCTCCACTCCAGGCATGGGTAGGATCCTATAAAGCATAAAATTTCACCTTAGGACATTGCATTAATTTTCCATGGCTGCTACATACATTTCATTTCCTGGGCTCACAGCAAAGAACTCTCTTTCATGAGTTTTGGGAAGATGGGAATTGAGACACGAGGGTTAAGATCTGGCCCAGATTTAAACAGGCAGACAACAGAAGCTCTGCCAAATTTTTAAGTGCTTTGAGCTACATGTATTTTTTTTAAGTTTAAAGTAAAATTAAAAAGAAAAATTTGAAAAGGCAATTAGAGGCTCTTACAAATCATTTCAAACCCAGAGCATTAAAAAAATACAGAAACCAAGGACCTAACAAATGTCTCACTTGGAAAAACGCCACGTTTTCTGTACAACCCAGTGTGGGAAGGTTAAAAAGAAAATACTAATTGGCTCTGGGCACTTCTTGTGGGTAAGGATTTCTGGCTCTATCCTCCCAGTACAACTCTTTGTGAGGAGCACACACACAGTTCACCACTCCAGAAACAGCACAAACCAGCTTCAATCACTTTTGCCTCCCACTTGTACCAGGAGTGAGTTGCTTGTGCGCCTGCTCCTTCACAGGCAATCCCTGCATTTAGGACTGGACTGATGTTCATTAAATAAGGAGCTAATTGGCAGAAGTGAACTGTATTTTTCAGCCTATATTTCAGGTAGCGTTTTCCTCCCCTTTAATTTCAGGGAGTGACAGTTTCTCATACCTTGGGCACTGCACGTCTGTAAAATAATAATTAAAAATAACCTCCCACACTTACATAAAAAGCACAGTCCAGGACAGCTCCTGAATGCTGATATTTGAGTCTCATGGTGTTGGCAGGGACATCATAGAGCCGAACAGTCGTGTCCCAGGAGGAAACAAGCAGAAACTGACACGTGTTTGGACTGAACTTCACCGATGAAATACCATCATCTGGAGTTTGGTTCAGCTTGAACTCGTTTGATCCCGTCATCTGCAGACAATAAAGGCACAGACACAATCTGAGTGGTTACAGGAGCACAGGCCCAGCAGGTCAGCAAGATAAACTCAGACACCTGCAAGGCAGCCCAAAGGAAGCCTCAAAAGTTTAGTGCCTTTGACACACAAGATCAGAACACCCAGATTTCTGACAAACTCTAACATTCAATCCCTTTCCAAAAACTCAGTAAATTCCTTCCCCTACAGAGAACCTCTAAATACTAAATATAACATCAGATAAACAGCACAAATACATTATCATCATCTTACATATTGTTACTTATAAATGTACTTCCCTTGCTCTGCTCGTGTGTGTGACTGCGTTTTTTAAATTAAATATCTAAAAGTTACTGTGAGCATCAAGAAGTTACTTTAAAAAACACATATAAGCAGAAAGGAGTCTCATTTGAAAACTCTAAAAAGTGTTGATTTGTTCCTCATTTGGTATGGCTGCCACAATCTTCCAAGAACTGCAACTGGATTATCTTTTATGTAGGTCTGGGCTGTCTGCAACTTCCCATTCTTTAGGTTTCCATAAGTGCTATAAAATGTTTTTTCCCCCTCTTTTAGAATCCAAAGGGCAGGTAAGAAAGGGAGGTTGTGTTCTGTAGGGTGCTGATGTAGAGAGAACATGTAAATGTGACGTGACTAGAAGAAAAAAAAAAAAAATCAACCACTCAATGACAGATCAGTGACTCTGAAGGCAACTGCAGCACCCACTGCAGTTTTGTTGCATGTACAAAAATTCCAAGGACAGCAGAGCCTATGAACTGCAGATTCCAGCTGGAGAACAGTTCAAACTTTGCAAACACTCTAAAAGAAATTGCTCGTGACGTGTACACCAACAAAGCCACCAAAACTTTTCTTAAGGTGTATTTTTTTTAAGGCTTCACAAAACCTTAACAGCTCATTTCCCTTATGCCAGAGGAGCAGAGAAGTAAATTATTTCAGATTTTCTGTCACACTGTCACTCCTGAATCTGGATGTGCAAGTGCAGAGGTAAGATTACACCCCTGACAATAAATCAGGAGAGGATGAGCAGATGAACGAGGGCAAGGTTGAAATTTAGGGCACAGTGATTCCAGTTCAGTGCTTGTCAGTAACTGGACAGTCATCAAGTTGTGTTATAAAGTGAGCAACACACACATTCTCACACTGGAGAGACTTCCTGAGTGAGAGCTTTGGCAGTTGCTCTGCAAGACATCCTTCAAAAAAAAAAAACCAAAAATCCCACCCACTGTGTCAACACAAAGTGGTAGTTCTGGCATTTAAACATGAAATGAAGGGGGAAAAAAAGCACTTTTAATAAGATGAAAACTTCTTTCTAAGCCCCTTCTTCCAGCTCTGCTTTGGGAATACTTGGAAAAAGGGAGGCTTGAGATTTATCCACACATCTTTCCACAGGAAAACTACAAGGAATTCAGCATCACCTGCAGCAGTGAATGCTTTAGATGGATGTCCAGAGACACAAAATCTAAAGGAATTCAAAACTGGGAAAATTAGACTGGACGTGGTAACTGCCTTGTCTACTTGTGCCAGAAAACTCAAACAGCAAACACAAGGATGTGAGGTACAAGTTGTTGTATTATTTGAGGCCTGGTACGAGTTATTAATCAGCCCAGGAAGCAAAGTTAGTTATATAAGACACTTGGAAGGATCTCCCAAAGGTATTTTTAATCCAGAACAACATACATAGTATCAGAATTTAAATATATCCTGCCTCTAACACACTCTAAAAAAAAAAAATAAACGCACAAAGAGCTCTGCATTTGCACAAAAACAGCTGCTTCACAACCAGCATTTCCAAACCACGGAGTCAAGCCCACCTCAAACAACGAAGTGCTGGTAAAATGTTGAGGCCCAGAAGAAAATAACTCTTAAAAAAATAAGACGTTATAGGCTGAAACTGCGATTCTGAGTTAGACACGGGGTTCAGTTTTAGGGGAAAAAAAAAAAAAAAAAAAAAAAAACTGGTTTTTAGCGAACAGGTAAGAAACCTGTGCCTTTACAGCCCCCCTCGGCACAGCTGCCCGACCAAAGCAGAGCGCCTGGGTGAGAGCCCAGCCCGCGCTTTTAACACGAAAACATCAAATCCAGCGGTACCGTTTTCATGTTGGACGAGCTCCTCCCGCCGCTCCGCGCGGCGCTCGGAAAAACCTCCGGGAGTCACGGCAGAGCCGCCGGGGCGTCGCTCGCTGTCACGGTCCGGCCGGGGAGAAGCACGTCGGGATGCGGGAGACGCTGCGGGCAGGGAAGGGGAGAGAGTGAAGGGAGGGCCTGGGAACGGGGAAGGGACGAGGCCGCACCGGGGAAGGGGGGGGTGAGGCCGCCCCCAGAGTCCGGCTCCCCGTCGGGATCCCGATCCCAGTCCTGGTTCGGATCCCGGTCCAGATTCTGGGTTCCCATCCCCATTCCCATTCCCGGTTCCGATCCCGATCCCGATCCCATTCCCGGCCTCACCTCCGCCGCCGCCGCCGCCGCCGCCTGCCGCGCGCGCGCACAGCCGCCCGCCCCCGCGATTGGCCGGTTCGAACGCGCGTGACGCCGCCGCGTGCCCGGCGTGCGCCGCGCGCTTCCCCCCCCCCCCCTTCCCCGCGGGGCACGCCGGGAGCTGTAGTCCGGCAGGGCCGAGGCCGGCATGGGGGGACTTGCCTCCTTGTCCACTGTCCCATCCCGGCCGATAACGGGAGCTCCCCCGGGGGGAATCACGCGGGGCTGGTGTGGGAGGACAGAGCGGCTGGCGGTAGGGTTCGGCAGCGTTAACGTGCGAACCCAAAATAGGAGTTATTGCCCCTAAAACAGAGACCCGAATTGAGTCCCTCCTTCCCCCCCCCCCCCCCCCCCCCCCCCCCCCCCCCCCCCCCCCCCCCCCCC